CGACCTCTGGGTTGGAAGCGTCGACCTCCGGGCTTGAGGCGTCGACCTCCGGGCTGGAGGCGTCGACTTCCGGACTGAAGGCGTCAACTTCTGGACTTGAGGCGTCGACTTCTCGACTGGAGGTGTCGACTTCTGGACTGGAGGCGTCGACTTCTGGACTGGAGGCGCCGACTTCTGGAGTGGAGGCGCCGACTTCTGGACTGGAGGCGCCGACTTCTGGACTGGAAGCGCCGCCGACTTCTGGAGTGGAGGTGCCGCAGGAGGGGCCGCCAACTTCTGGAGTGGAGGCGGAGCCGCTGCAGACGGGACCGCTTCCCTGGCTGGTGCCGCCGGACTGTGCACTGACAACTGGACAGGCTGGCCCGGGGGCAGAGCCTCTTGGACAGGCTGGCCCGGGGACGGAGCCTCTTGGACAGGCTGGCCCGGGGACGGAGCCTCTTGGACCACCGCGGGACCTGGCGCTGACTGGACGGCTGGCGCGGGACCTGGCGCTCACTGGACGGGTGGCGCGGGACCTAGCGCTGACTGGACTGGTGGCGCGGGACCTGGCGCAGACTGGACTGGTGGCGCGGGACCTGGCGCAGACTGGACTGGTGGCGCGGGACCTGGCGCTGACTGGACTGGTGGCGCGGGACCTGGCGCAGACTGGACTGGTGGCGCAGGACCTGGTGGAGCCGGTAACTGGAAAAGCAGGGAGGTTAGATTGTCCACCAGGAGCTCCTGGAGACTGAAAATCTGACGGAGTCAGACCAGCTCAGCTCGGAGACCGGCGAGCTCTGTTGGATGGGCTGTGGGTTCGGTCCTTTGGCCTGGAGACGAGGGAGCTGCTGACTGGACCGGAGGCGGAGCCGCTGGCTGGACAGAAACCTTCTCCTGGAGATACGAGGAGGTTAGGGTGTCCAGCTGGAACTCCTGGAGGCTGATGAGTTGACGGAGCCTGTCAAGCTCCACTTGGAGGCCGGCGAGCTCCGTCTGATGGGCTGTAGGCGTGGCCCCTCCGCACCTGGCGAGGGCAGGACCGGCGGTGACCGGAGGCAGAGCCGCTGCAGGGGTAGACTCGGCAGGTAGACGCTGGAGGAGACGTCGTCGACTTCTGGACTGGAGGAGACGTCGTCGACTTCTGGGCAGGTGGAGACGTCGTCGACTTCTGGGCTGGAGGAGACGTCGTCGACTTCTGGGCTGGAGGAGACGTCGTCGACTTCTGGGCTGGAGGAGACGTCGTCGACTTCTGGGCTGGAGGAGACGTCGTCGACTTCTGGGCTGGAGGAGACGTCGTCGACTTTCGGGCTGGAGGAGACGTCGTCGACTTCTGGGCTGGAGGAGACGTCGCCGACCTCTGGGCTTGAGGAGAAGACGTCGCCGAACTCTGGGCTGGAGGAGGAGACGTCGAACACTGGGCTGGAGGCGACGTCGACCCCTGGGCTGGGGGCATTGACATCTGGGCTGGAGGCGTCGACCTCCGGGCTGGAGGCGTCGACTTTTGGACTGGAGGCGTCAACTTCTGGACTGGAGGCGCCGACTTCCTGACTGGAGGCGCCGACTTCCTCACTGGAGGCATCGACTTCTGGACTGGAGGCGCCGACTTCCTGACTGGAGGCGCCGGCTTCCTGACTGGAGGCGCCGACTTCCTGACTGGAGGCATCGACTTCTGGACTGGAGGCATCGACTTCTGGACTGGAGGCGCCGCCGATTTCTGGAGTGGAGGCGCCGCAGGAGGGGCCGCCAACTTCTGGAGTCGAGGCGGAACCGCTGCAGACGGGACCGCTTCCTTGGCTGGTGCCGCCGGACTGTGCGCTGACAACTGGACCGGCTGGCCCGGGGGCAGAGCCTCTTGGACAGGCTGGCTCCGGGGCGGAGACTCTTGGACAGGCTGGCCCGGGGGCGGAGCCTATTGGACCACCGCGGGACCTGGCACTGACTGGAAGGGTGGCGCGGGACCTGGCGCTAACTGGACGGGTGGCGCGGAACCTGGCGCTGACTGGACGGGTGGCGCGGGACCTGGCGCTGACTGGACGGGTGGCGCGGGACCTGGCGCTGACTGGACGGGTGGCACGGGACCTGGCGCTGACTGGACTGGTGGCGCGGGACCTGGCGCAGACTGGACTGGTGGCGCAGGACCTGGTGGAGCCGGTAACTGGAAAAGCAGGGAGGTTAGATTGTCCACCAGGAGCTCCTGGAGACTGAAAATCTGACGGAGTCGGACCAGCTCAGCTCGGAGACCGGCGAGCTCTTTTGGATGGGCTGTGGGCTCGGTCCTTTGGCCTGGAGACGAGGGAGCTGCTGACTGGACCGGAGGCGGGGCCGCTGGCTGGACAGAAACCTTCTCCTGGAGATACGAGGAGGATAGGGTGTCCAGCTGGAACTCCTGGAGGCTGATGAGTTGACGGAGCCGATCAAGCTACACTTGGAGGCCGGCGAGCTTCGTCTGATGGGCTGTAGGCGTGGTCCCTCCGCACCTGGCGAGGGCAGGACCGGCCGTGACCGGAGGCAGAGCCACTGCAGGGGTAGACTCGGCAGGTAGAGACGCTGGAGGAGACGTAGTCGACTTCTGGGCTGGAGGAGACGTCGTCGACTTCTGGGCTGGAGGAGACGTCGTCGACTTCTGGGCTGGAGGAGACAACGTCGACTTCTGGGCTGGAGGAGACAACGTCGACTTCTGGGCTGGAGGAGACGTCGTCGACTTCTGGGCTGGAGGAGACGTCGTCGACTTCTGGGCTGGAGGAGACGTCGTCGACTTCTGGGCTGGAGGAGACGTCGTCGACTTCTGGGCTGGAGGAGACGTCGTCGACTTCTGGGCTGGAGGAGACGTCGTCGACTTCTGGGCTGGAGGAGACGTCGTCGACTTCTGGGCTGGAGGAGACGTCGCCGACCTCTGGGCTGGAGGAGGAGACGTCGACCCCTGGGCTGGAGGAGGAGACGTCGACCCCTGGGCTGGAGGCGACGCCGACGTCTGGGCTGGGGGCGTCGACGTCTGGGCTGGGGGCGTCGACGTCTGGGCTGGAGGCGTCGACGTCTGGGCTGGGGGCGTCGACGTCTGGGCTGGGGGCGTCGACGTCTGGGCTGGAGGCGTAGACCTCTGGGCTGGAGGCGTCGACCTCCGGGATGGAGGCGTCGACCTCCGGGCTGGAGGCGTCGACTTCCGGACTGAAGGCGTCAACTTCTCGACTGGAGGTGTCGACTTCTCGACTGGAGGTGTCGACTTCTGGACTGGAGGCGTCGACTTCTGGACTGGAGGCGCCGACTTCTGGAGTGGAGGCGCCGACTTCTGGACTGGAGGCGCCGACTTCTGGACTGGAGGCGCCGCCGACTTCTGGAGTGGAGGTGCCGCAGGAGGGGCCGCCAACTTCTGGAGTGGAGGCGGAGCCGCTGCAGACGGGACCGCTTCCCTGGCTGGTGGTGCCGGACTGTGCACTGACAACTGGACAGGCTGGCCCGGGGGCAGAGCCTCTTGGACAGGCTGGCCCGGGGACGGAGCCTCTTGGACCACCGCGGGACCTGGCGCTGACTGGACGGCTGGCGCGGGACCTGGCGCTCACTGGACGGGTGGCGCGGGACCTAGCGCTGACTGGACTGGTGGCGCGGGACCTGGCGCAGACTGGACTGGTGGCGTGGGACCTGGCGCTGACTGGACTGGTGGCGCGGGACCTGGCGCAGACTGGACTGGTGGCGCAGGACCTGGTGGAGCCGGTAACTGGAAAAGCAGGGAGGTTAGATTGTCCACCAGGAGCTCCTGGAGACTGAAAATCTGACGGAGTCGGACCAGCTCAGCTCGGAGACCGGCGAGCTCTGTTGGATGGGCTGTGGGTTCGGTCCTTTGGCCTGGAGACGAGGGAGCTGCTGACTGGACCGGAGGCGGAGCCGCTGGCTGGACAGAAACCTTCTCCTGGAGATACGAGGAGGATAGGGTGTCCAGCTGGAACTCCTGGAGGCTGATGAGTTGACGGAGCCGGTCAAGCTCCACTTGGAGGCCGGCGAGCTCCGTCTGATGGGCTGTAGGCGTGGCCCCTCCGCACCTGGCGAGGGCAGGACCGGCGGTGACCGGAGGCAGAGCCGCTGCAGGGGTAGACTCGGCAGGTAGAGACGCTGGAGGAGACGTCGTCGACTTCTGGACTGGAGGAGACGTCGTCGACTTCTGGGCTGGTGGAGAAGTCGTCGACTTCTGGGCTGGAGGAGGCGTCGTCGACTTCTGGGCTGGAGGAGGCGTCGTCGAATTCTGGGCTGGAGGAGACGTCGTCGACTTCTGGGCTGGAGGAGATGTCGTCGACTTCTGGGCTGGAGGAGATGTCGTCGACTTCTGGGCTGGAGGAGACGTCGTCGACTTCTGGGCTGGAGGAGACGTCGCCGACCTCTGGGCTGGAGGAGGAGACGTCACCGACCTCTGGGCTGGAGGAGGAGACGTCGACCCCTGGGCTGGAGGCGACGTCGACCCCTGGGCTGGGGGCGTTGACATCTGGGCTGGAGGCGTCGACCTCCGGGCTGGAGGCGTCGACTTTTGGATTGGAGGCGTCGACTTCTGGACTGGAGGCGCCGACTTCCTGACTGGAGGCGCCGACTTCCTGACTGGAGGCATCGACTTCTGGACTGGAGGCATCGACTTCTGGAGTGGAGGCGCCGCCGATTTCTGGAGTGGTGGCGCCGCAGGAGGGGCCGCAAACTTCTGGAGTCGAGGCGGAACTGCTGCAGACGGGACCGCTTCCTTGGCTGGTGCCGCCGGACTGTGCGCTGACAACTGGACCGGCTGGCCCGGGGGCAGAGCCTCTTGGACAGGCTGGCCCGGGGACGGAGCCTCTTGGACAGGCTGGCTCCGGGGCGGAGACTTTTGGACAGGCTGGCCCGGGGGCGGAGCCTATTGGACCACCGCGGGACCTGGCACTGACTGGAAGGGTGGCGCGGGACCTGGCGCTGACTGGACGGGTGACGCGGGACCTATCGCTGACTGGACTGGTGGCGCGGGACCTGGCGCTGACTCGACTGGTGGCGCGGGACCTGGCGCAGACTGGACTGGTGGCGCGGGACCTGGCGCAGACTGGACTGGTGGCGCAGGACCTGGTGGAGAAGGTAACTGGAAAAGCAGGGAGGTTAGTTTGTCCACCAGGAGCTCCTGGAGCCTGAAAATCTGAAGGAGTCGGACCAGCTCAGCTCGGAGACCGGCGAGCTCTGTTGGATGGGCTGTGGGTTCGGTCCTTTGGCCTGGAGACGAGGGAGCTGCTGACTGGACCGGAGGTGGGGCCGCTGGCTGGACAGAAACCTTCTCCTGGAGATACGAGGAGGATAGGGTGTCCAGCTGGAACTCCTGGAGGCTGATGAGTTGACGGAGCCAGTCAAGCTCCACTTGGAGGCTGGTGAGCTCCGTCTGATGGGCTGTAGGCGTGGGCCCTTCGCCTGTAGATGAAGGAGGTGCTGACTGGACCGGAGATGGGGCCGCTGATCTGACTGGGGTGGGTCCAAGCTGGTGTCCCAAGCCGGAGTAGCGGTGAGCCCGTGGTTCCGTCCTGGGACAGGGGTTGACGCTGGAGCCCGGCATCCTTCCCAACACCGTGGGCTAACTCTGGGGGAGCAGACTGCCAGTCTGGTGCCCACATAGCAGGAGCGGTCTAGCTGCGTCTCCCAGTCCAACCCCCCAACTGGCTCCGGGAGGGTGGAGAGGATCGCCGAGGCCGGGGTTCGGCAGCGGCGTCTGCGGCGAGGCGACGCCGGAGGAGGAGAAGCCGGCCGGTGGTTTGAGGTGAGGAACTGAAGCAGGTACTCCCAGGGGAGAACCTCCCCGCTGGATCCTTTAGGAGTTTGGTTCATTCTGTCACGGCGTGCTGGTGAGTGAAGCGGAGGTGAGGATCCACATGTGGGTGAGGAAGGCAGGCAGATAGACACGAACGTTTAGTATAGTTTAATATAAAAACACGCTGGACACTGAAACAATGAACCAACAAAAGACAAAGAACTGAGAGGGTTTAAATCAGAAACCGTCTCAGGCAAGCTCAACTGCATGCTCGTCGTCCCCATCGGGGTCTTGACCTGACTCCAGCTCGTCACCGTGACAGACTTGAGTGGGCAAATGCTCACATTGAATGGCGTCTGGCATGTTGGAGAGGTGTTGTCTTCACGGTTGAATCTCGGTTTACATTGTTCAGGGCAGATGGCAGACAGCGTGTGTGGCGTCATGCGGATGAGCAATTTGCTGATGTCAATGTTGTGGATCGAGTGGCCAATGGTGGTGGTGGGGTTATGGTATGGACAGGCATCTGTTATGGACGAAGAACACAGGTGCATTTTATTGATGGCATTTTGAATGCACAGAGATACCGTGATGAGATCCTGAGGCCCATTGTTGTGCCGTACATCCATGAACATTACCTCATGTTTCAGCAAGATAATGCACGGCCTCATGTTGCAAGGATCTGTACACAATTCTTGGAAGCTGAAAATGTCCCAGTTCTTGCATGGCCACGCATACTCACCGAACATGTCACCCATTGAGCATGTTTGGGATGTGCTTGACCGGCGTATACGACAGCGTGTACCAGTTCCCACTAATATCCAACAACTTCGCACAACCATTGAAGAGGAGTGGACCAACATTCCACAGGCCACAATTGACAATCTGATCAACTCTATGCGAAGAAGATGTGTTGCACTGCATAAGGCAAATGGTGGTCACACCAGATACTGACCGGTTCTGAGTCCCCAGACCCCCAATAAAGCAATTAACTGCACATTCCTGGGTGGCCTTTAATTGTGGGCAGTATAAGGTACACCTGTGCACTACTCATGATGTCAGATCAGCATCTTGATGTGGCACACCTGTGAGGTGGGATGGATTATCTTAGCAAAGCACAGGTGCTCACTATCATACATTTAGACTGATTTGTGATCAATGTTTGAGAGAAATGGTAATATTGTGTATCTGGACTGAATTTCAGATCTTTAAGTCCATCTCATGAAAAATCGGAGCAGAAACAAAGGTGTTGCGTTTATATTTTTGTTGAGTGTAGGTTCCTACATCACCTTTAGCTCCATCCATTCACAGTAAATGCTTAGTTCACTTGTCATGTTTTAATTGTTTCTCAAATAAATTCTTACAATTATAAACCTGACTCTTTTCTGAATCAAGACGAGGTGTGTATAATTACTTAATAAAGCAAAAATCCTATAATCTTCTGATATTTACAATAAAGATCAAGTAAGGTAATATTGTATATTTATACAGAATATCAAATAAATAATACACATTTGCCTCCGCTACACAAAGATTTTTTTTTTTGTAAACCAATTTTAAAAATATACACTTAACAGATGCATTTTAGGGCAGAAATTTAAAACTAACTTATAACAAACAAATGTATTTTATTGACACTACAGCTGAGTCAATATTTACGTCCTGAAAAAAAGTTTATTTACCTGATCTCGGCACGTTCACTCATGCCCTCAGTCGGATGCTTTCTTAAGAGGTGCAGCAGCATGGAAGAAGTGCTGTTGTGGTAGTTCCACCTTGCAATGCTTGCATCCAATGGCGTTTTCCTTGCTTTTTAATGTAAAGTGATCCCATGCCTTGGAAAACTTCTGTCGCTTACTATATCCTTCGTTTTGGTCTTGCTCGTTTTCATTTATTTCCATGGCGTCTGCCATTGTCTGCTACCCAGCTGAAAAGACGAAAAGACCGCTGCGCGCTGTGCAGTAGAGTACATGGCACGTATAATCTGTGACGTAACCGCGTTGCGCAACACATAAAGAATCCATGCGCAATGCCGGATATTCAGCTATGGTCTATTTAACGAGTCCTCGAGGCAGCGGAAAATTCTCGAATATTTTTTGTCAGCGAATCATTCGAGTTACTCGAGGAATCATTGCAGCCCTAATCAGCATAATCATTTTTAAAGCTAATCAATATAATCTTTTTGAGAATAATCATTTTTACACTTAACCAATATAACCTTTTCTGTTTAAACTAATATAGTCAACTTCAGTCTAATTGCTGTCAGGTTATGAATGTGTTGGTCAATCATTTAATCTTCATATATAAGGAAATAAAACTTTGTCGAAGTGCTGCAGACTAACAGAGATAACGTTCCAGAAAACATTGGTGTTGAAAGTTTCTATAACAATGGCCTGACTCTTACTGCTTGTGGTCAAAAGAAGATCACGAGTTATGTCATGGGGAAGTGTCTGATTGATAAACTTTTGACCTCGTTGCTGAGCCAGAGATCACAAATTCAGTCTTAGAAAAAGTCTTGGATGTTGAGGGTCAGGGAAAGTCAGAAGGTGCTTTAGACTGTGAACTCATGAAGACCGCTCACATGAGGAGGAGTAGTGTATGACTGTGAAGTGGGAACGCCCCAGTCTATTGTGGAACTGTTGTAAAATTAAAAAAAATTTTCATGCAATTCAATAAAAGGGCTGACGAGAAGAGTCGAAAGTTAGAAGATACATCGGCAGGGAACTGCTTGTGTTCTTCTCACCAGAAGCCAACCAAAGATCTTTGTGTGTGTACATATTATAATGGGCTTAAAGTAGGGCTGGGCAATAAATCGAAAATGTATCGTTATCGAAATTTCTGGCTCTTATCGAGATCATTTTTCCCATGTCAATAAATTTGATAATAAAAAAATGAAAAGATGTGTGTAGCTGGGCAACATTCATGTCCCTTTAAGAAGCTGTACCACCTTGAGATGCGTAAAAATGTGACTAAATATAATACATGTGACAGCCCCATCTAGTGGACAACTTACCTGCAGTTATGGTCCATTTATCATTATTGAGGTTAAATCCTCAATATATTGTGATATTAGTTTTAGGCCATATCGCCCAGCCCTAGCTTAAAGTGTGGATCTCTCTTCAGGGTCACCTCCAAAGAACCAGGGAGTGGTTAGATGGAATAATTTCCACCACGACAGCCCCCATAATTCTGGTATGAAAGTGAAGCCAACAAGGAAGAGGCAAAAAAAAAAATGCATTTCCACCCTCATCCACCAGAAGAGAGCTAATCCTCATCGAATCACATGTCAAAAATGCCAATTTGACAGCAGAGATAAACTGATCAGAAAGCCCTTTAAGGTTTAATAGATCTAGTTAACATTCATGAAAACTCTGAGGGGGCAAAGTTTTTTTTATAAATTTATAATCATTGCAACCCAAAGTCAGTCCTACCACACTGCTGAATCCTGCCGGTGCTGTTTCCTCAGTGAGGTTCAGTACATCTCGTTCATCACCCTTGGAAAAGGAGATGATGTGTTCTGGTCCGGCTCTCCACTCCCTCGTCGAGGAGACTTCTAACCACAGAATAGAGGCTTTACTATCTAGTACTCAAAATCTATCTTAATGATATTGGCCACAGGCTAAATTCCTTTGAATGGCATGTTTAAAGTATAAAACCTCAATGAAAAATGTTTTTGGATTTTCACGGCTGGAATTTGAAGAAAATCTGATGTTTCTGACTGGCGCGGGAAAAACAGAAACTAGCTTCAGGTCTAAGCCCTGGACAGCTGGTGACGTTTCACAGGAGGTCTGAAGAAAAAGCACCTGACTACGATGTTTCTGTGTTAGAGTTATAGCTGAGAACAATGTGTCATCAGTCAAGATGTAGCTTCTGAAGCCTCTGCTAGTCGGTCAGATTGTTTTTTTCTCTGGGATGATTACCGGAGAAGTTCAACCGAACTCCGACCCCGCTAGCTGGATATCACTACCGGAGGTGCAGACATGTTTTGGACCGTTTGACGCAGAAGACCCGCGACCCGATTTGGACACCGGGAAGGATTCTGTTAGTCTTAAGAACCAAAATCGGTACAGTTTGTTTACTTTTGTTAAATATTAAATGTTTGTGCTCGTACCACCGGGAGCTCTCAGCTGACTACAGGTCTTAACTCCATCATACTGTCCTGATGTGTAATTCAGTAATCTACAGAAAAAAAAACAAAATTATGTGCTGCCAATTTTACAGCTGCATGTATATATTAGGGGTTTAACGGTTCGGGCCACTTGCGTACCATTTTGGTTCATTTTCCATTAAATAATGAAATTTTGTTTGCATGATTTAAGTGCAGCAGATCAAAGTTCATAGGCGAGTTTCCGCACCGACGCTGTATTGAGTGACGCATGATGGTTGCACGCACCTGATCTCCGATTAAAAAAGGTGATCTGCAAATTCTGATCAACGTCTTTCTGAGCAGATCAAACCAGCTGGCTGTCGCTGCTACTGTGGAGACAGTAGAGACGCTGAACGTAAACAACATGTCTACTGAACTTTTCCCCCACGGCAGTTGATGTAATGTTTTCATTCTACAACAAAAAATACGATGCGGAGAAAGCTCGTTATTTAACAGGGTATCTGCAGGTTTAAGGGAGCCAAATTTAAGGCTTTTTAAGACCTTTTTTAAGGCCACTTTGACCAAATTTAAGCTATTTTTTAATTATATTTAAGCTATAATTTTCAGCTATTGCCTGGCACTGGTGCTAACCACGTCGCAAACGTGGGATTACCCACCCAGTTACCATTAAACTTGCACTTCCCCATGGTGCAAGCTCCCACTAGCTTAACCAGCTAATGTGCTCATCTAAAAATAGCCCCCTTTCACAACCAACTGAATGTGTACAGTTCCACTTATGCCAATATCATAAACAAAAAATGCTGAACACTAACTACAAATTCTTGTTCATTGGGTCTTTGGTAATTTAAGACATTTGGAAACTGTAATTAAGGATTATTTGTCATTTCTAATGATTTTTAAGACCTTAAATTTAAAAAAGCAAATTTAAAACTTTAAGACTTTTTAAGGACCTGCGGACACCCTCTAATATGAGTTTTAAAGAAGAAAGTGGGCAGTCTGAGGTGAGTTTTTAAGGCTCACTGCAGAAATAAAAACAAGGCGCATCAACAGTCAAACACGTATGAGAGTGACACTCATAGCTGCGCAAATAAACTGTGAAATATTTAAAGACATCATACTAGATCAGCAGCTTGTGAGGACACCTGGTTCTGCTCACTACAGAAGCCGCTTCAGACAAAAAATAAATAAATATAATAATATACAGAAAACGATTTGAACTGAGCTCTTCAAAACACTGAACCGAATCGAATACGATTTTAGCGTACTGTTATACCTCTAACGATTAGAGACTCATTTATATAGTTTAATAGCAAAAAAGTTGATTTGAGGGTGACTTGCTCTTTAACAAAATGAAAAACTGAACCAAGTTCATATTTATATAATTGGTAAAGTATAGTTACACTGAATTTTTACAATTTTAATGCTGAGTCTGGCCAATACCTCTGATAGTCATATATAGCACATGTACCCTGTATATAGCATGTCAAAGATTACTATTGAGCACAATAAATCTTTACAAAAATCCATTTTTATTACAATGTTTTTCTTTGTACTAATTTCTTCCCAAAAGATAAAAATATAACCTTAAATCATGGCTGTAAATCTGTTTTTAACAAAAGTGTTTTCACAGATGTGAAGTTTTCTTTAAATAATTAAGTACAGAATCATTTAATTTACCCATTCATAAACAAATCAGGTCTCTGGTTTCATCACCATCTTTTAGCAGTATCGCTGTACAAAGTGGAGGTTATTTGGCAAAGAAAAAATGTTACAGCAAATGGAAAACTCCTATTATGGTGCCTGTCTGGTGACATTTGAGGGGGAAAAATAACTTGCGGCCACGACTGCGTGGCAAGGTCCCTCCCCCCCCTCAATGTCACCAGACTAGCTTCATACTAGTGATTAAAACCAATACATTTTCAACATACTGTCAGTGAACTGGTACTTAAACATTTTAGCACATAAGTTTTTTCCAACTCAGTTTCACTTTAAGATAAGCTTTTGCTGCTAGTCCGTTAGCGGTCTTAAAACTGCCTACTCACCAAAACGTTCAAAAGTCATCCGGTTTTCTCGACACTCCAATTATCCAGAATGCATCATCTGTTACACAAAAACATTTTTAGGTAAGTAATAGGTAGAAAGGTTAACTTCTGAACTGTTTTTCCTCATAACTTTACCGCACCGTTCCCATTTTTCTGTCTCCTCAGATGTTTTGACGACAAGGTCCTCACACCTGCACATCCACAATAACAAGTACGGTTAAGTTAGACTACAACACATAACTTGTTTTCTTTACCAGTCAGGACTTCCATATTAAAGAAGGCGTGTTTCTGAGTTGTCTTGGTAACATCTTCTTTCCTGTCAGCCTCTGATTGACTGTGAAAATCATAACATAAATTCTTTAAAACTAAATCACTTTGAGTGATTTGCCAGTTCTAGAGAAAGCTTCAGACCGGCCATCTTTAGCATATCTCTTTAATAATCAAAGATTTTGACACATCATCAAAACCTTTTTGCACCTACAAAGCTGAGACAGCAAACAGTTCATGCAGAACAAAGCTGATATTGTTCAACTCCTTAAGAGTTATTCCTGAGACGCAAGCTGATTCCAACCTGTGCTGCGTGGTGATATCTTTTGGACCGGAGAAGTCGGTGCTCGCAGTCAATCTACCGGACCTGGGTGCCCAGAGGTCATCCTGCCTCTCTGACCTCCGAATCCGTGACGAAGGTCATCAAAAGGGTGAGGTAGAACACAGAGATTGCGTCTGAATGTGCTTCTGAAGATAACATCATAGTTTAGAACAAACCAAATTCTTTTTCATCC